TTTTCTAAACATAAATTAAAATCCTAGGTACATTTACATTAATGTTTTATAATTCTGAGCGCCAATTTATTTAATTTGAGAATAATCACTCTGAATTATGACATTTTACAAAATACCTACCTATACTTATGTAAAATATATAATATAATAAATGTTAAGCAGTGCGGATATTCCATTTTCATAATAAAAAAATCGAGTTGTTCCAATGCTATATAAAGAAGTACTTATAAGTGAATTTAACAGTTTAAAACGTTTAAATATTAGGTATCTGTTTGAAAATAGAGCTCGAATTAGTGAGAATCTGCATTTGTTCGCAGTAAAATGCATTTCGAATTATATGTACTGAATTGAAAATTTGCATTATTTTATTATTTAAATACGAGATTAATTTAAATTAATTTTATCTGATACCTAAATTTAGCAGTTGTAGAGATCATGAGGATCATTATTAAACAAAAGACGATCGATATACCAAAACAGAACAAGTTAACAATAAAAAATGCATGAATGAGAAGAGACTATTTTATATCTACTGGTGAAGAAAGTCGTCTAAATGACAAAAGAAAAGAAAGTAGAACATTTTTGAAAAGTAATAAATAAAGAACACAAAATTGTTTATGTAAAATTTTGTAGTTGATCATTAATACGAACTTTAGGTTTTTGTTTACTTGACGTATGTATCTAAACATTTTTTTGTCTTTTAATTTTTAAAATCTCAAAATAGTTCAATTATGTTCATATTAGTACTGGTAGCAAAATATTTTCTTATTATTACTTGTGAAAAAGTTGCTTAGTAATTTTTATCTTTTAATCTAAAAGACATTTTACATTTATAATTATTGTAGATAAGTACTTTAGATGGCTTGTTGCCGAACGTGCTTTGCTATTTTAATAAATACATGTTTCTGTTGATATAGTTTATTGTTTCAGGAACTGGAAACATCATAACCAGAAATTTTGCCGATCCCTCTTATGTACCAACTAGAGTACTAGATGTAGGTATGATCTCTCTCTAACACGATTGTAATCTCACCAGATTCATTTTCCGGTTTTGCTTGTATTTCTATTTTGAAAAGTGTAATTCGCAGATAAATACCTAAAAAAAAACCTTAGAGTCGTCCAGCAATACTTTAAATCCTGAAAATTTTGTCTCTCCATGTGTTGGGTATGTTTTGTTTTGTTTTGTTTTTTGCGTGTTGCTTATTGCTGTGTTTGTGCTATTATTAAATTGCACTCTCCGGACTTCCCCTGGCGTGTTCTACAGTTTTTCAACAACTAAAAGCTCCCAAGGGAATTATTATTACCTTATCGTTATACTATTATATTATTAGGAGGTATTACAAAAGAATAAGGGCGAATGCAAGATGACCAAAGTGATTCAACCGGATGATAACGTTAATATACTTTATTTAATAAGCCATTTCGGTAAAATTTACAGAAAAACATACTACACATATTTTAGAATTGATTGCATAGTTAAACAAAATGGCGAATATTATTATTATATTATTATCTTACTGGAAATGCCATTGGGGCGAAACACTAAAAAAATTCATTCTTTATATTTTTCTTCAATGTCTTCGAGATAATCCAAATCCGATAGTTTTTAAATGGACAATATAAAGTTGTACTCTCTTTGAATTAGGATTATATAAAAGTTTAAAGCCGAGAATTTACTTGCAGTAACTACTCGAGGTTTTCCTCACTTCCCTACCTTATATGACGGGAAAATTCACCTGAGTCTCATGAAAATAAATCTTCTTTCAGACCGAGGAGTATTAGAGTTTTTAATTGTAAGCTCCGGCTGGATTTTAATGAACTGTTTTCTGTTTACCGTTGAAATGAAAGTAATTGCTTAGCAACGTGTTTACTGTCTTGTTTTTCTTTTAAAACATACCATAAAAAACGCTTGTATTGCGTTTTTTTTAACTAGCAAATTTCGTTGTCTTTATTGTGCTCGGCATAATTAGTGATGGTGGACGTCTGAACGTAGGTAGCAAGCAGCTTTTTATGTTCACACATGCTTGGTAAATCATAGTAAATTAAATATTCTACACGCAAAAAAGTGACGTCTTGTCGAATTTTACCAAACACAGGTGGAAAAAGGTTATAAGCGGCGAACATACCGATATTATAACGCCTAGCCAACAAATCCAAGCATATGTGACATGTGAATGTGGCATTAGAGTTGAATCGGAGTCGATATCAATTCAAATTCGGTTTGATGTACTTACAACTCGGGTAGCAGAAGCAATTGAACGCTAGACAAACTTGGAAAGCGTTTGAATTCGGTTAAAAATTAAAAAAGAACCCATGCAAATAATAATACTGTTTAACAGTGGCGTACGCACGGAGGGGATAATAGGGATATATCCCCCAGGAAGTCCCAGCGTCCGCACAGGGCCGACTAGAGGGGGGGTAGCCGGGACTAATTCCCGGGGCCCGGGCTCAAGTGGGGGTGGTGAGGACGTATAAAGGGCCTAATGTTTTTTATAAAATTGTCCCGGGGCCCGACCTGGCTCTCGGCGGCTTTGCGTCCGCAAACTAGAAAAAATAAGAGTGAGAGACCTCCAAATCGCTTTATAATACATACAGGTGTTAGGAGTAACTTAATAAATAAAAATTTAATTTGTCTCAAAATTGTTGCGAGGAGTTTTAGAGGTTTGTTCCAACAACGATCCAAAACTAGTCATTGGCACCAGGATTCTGCGTAGTAGGTAATTTGGGGTTCTAATGATCTACTGCGCAGAATCCTGGTGGCAGTGACTAGTTTCTGATCGTTATTGGAACAAACCTGGACTAGACGACTAAAATAGAATACTCAAATTTACAATAAAAATTTGTTCCATGTTATCCCCCCAAGATACATATCTTGGTACGCTACTGCTGATTAAGTAAACATTTCTAATGAATGAGGAACCATAAAATTAAGCTCGTGTTATATAAAGTTTTTGTTTAAGCTGATTTAGAGTGTTGAGACACAAGTTGTTGTTTCTTTCAAGAGTGATTTTAACATTTTCAAAAGTTTTTAGTGTTAAATTTGACTAATAAGTTAGAGTTTTTGTTGAATAAAAGTTATACCGATGTCCAAAGCAGATGTCTTCGCTTATTCGGACTCCTAAAGATCTTCAAGTTTTGCTTATATAACTGGCATTACAATTGCTGCATTGTCCCCTGTATAACCCACTCTTGGCCCACCTTGGTTCTATCCTTGGTGTTTACTATGTATGAATATAATTTATAGATTGATTTAAAAGAAATTTAAATATTGTCTACATTATTGATGAATATTTTTGAAATGCTTTTGGCTAGTTGTTTTTCCAAAAGGAGAAAATACGTAAAATTGATTAATATGAGTAATTTTTTATTTATTTTATAGTTTTATTGAATAAGTTTTGTATTAAATCTGGATTTATATTTAAAAATGTTGCAAACATTAATTATGTTTTAGGTAAGCAAGCTTCTTTGTCGGATGTTATATGAAAACAAGAAAAATTCCTCAAAATTTCTCATTTTAAAATCATGTAAAGCGCATTATAGGAACATTTAAAAAAATGCATGGTTTCTAAAAGACACAGTATCGGCTATCGAACACCTTCCAATACCTCTTGGCACAAGTGCGTGTGAAAACTACATTAGAGCTGAAAAATACATTAGAGCAAGCAAAAATAAATATTAGTAACAATGCCAGTTTATACGCAAACATTACAACGCAATCAATTTGAATGTTAATGAATGATGTAAAAAATATAAATATTTTTGAAAAAATAGTAGTTGTGTATTAATAAACCTTTACCACCAATAGTGTCATTATAGGTAGGTAAATTAGAAGAAAAAAAATGTAATTAATAATCAGATTGGTACTTTAAAAAATTCCCTATTTATTTACAAAAATTAGTTGTACCTAAATAAAAGCCAACACTTTATTCAATGCTCTCTTTAATACTGGGTAATAATTATATATTCGTTTAAATATTCCTAGGAATCAGATTCAAACCCTTGCATAATACCTTATGGCTCTATCCAAATAACTCTTTGCTAATTCTGTAGCATATTCAATTAGTTTAAAGTTCATTTTAAATTCGTGAGCTCAATCAGAATGACCAATATCAAAACAAAAATGATACTTTCATATTATGTTAATGAATTAGCTGTTTGGAGTTAAACAGGCAAGTGTACATAACTTTTAAATAAATACAGTTGAATTAACACAACAAAAGTTTGAGTAGTTTGAGTAGGCATCTCGGTTGGTGCGCGGCATATTAGGATGTTGAAGTCTATTGAAACCTACGGCTTTATGTCTCCTTCAAAACGAGGAATATAGTTATTTAGCTTTTACCGACGATGTTAACTAAACATCAAGAACCCGAAATATTGTACGAGTAGCTTAAGTTGATCCTTTCGGTTGCAAAAGATTTTTTCAGCTATTTCATTAGCATAATTGCAAAATATATGTGTTGTTATCCCACATAATGCTTCAATTACTATAAAAGCAGTATCTCTATTTTGTCTCCTGTTAAAATATAATAACCGTATACAGGATTTCGTGTTTTTGTGCCAGCTTCATAGTATATTAAAGTAGCGATTGTTTTGAAATTTTTCGATATCTTTAATTAAAGAGCTGCACCTAATAGTTATCAAATTATATAGTTTGTAAACTTTATAAATATTTTATTAGTTCCAATTACAAGACCATATACTTAAAGTCCTTCAACTGCCTGGAGAAAGTGGCACGCCACTTTTTTTTCCGCTCTTTATAGGGATGAACAATTTTTAATATATCACGGCGGTGGAAGTGGTCAGGTGACCTGTGACATTCAAAGTAAGGTTTTACTTTTTTAATAAAAAAATAAATGCATCTACATGAACTAAAAAATTTTTCACACAGCCTTAATCTTATTTAATAGCTTATTAACTTTGTCACACTTGTGCCAAACTGCTAAGTTTACAGAATGGACAAAAATAATTTTTAAATGAATGGATTAGTTAATTTTACTTACTTTGTATGGACTTAAGTTATCTACAGCACAGTTAAGGACAGCTTCTCTACCAACGGCTACTGTGAGATTTGATACAGGCGATCTAAAACTTGGATATTCTGAAAAAAAAAAATTTATATTAATGATTTAAATAGTATAATAATTTGGAAATCTTAAAAATAAATAACACCCCAAGTAATAATGATAATAATAATATTGTTTCGTGCGAATATGAAACATTATTTCAATAACAAATCAATACTAATTAGTGAGATAACAATACTTTCCCCAATAACCTCAATGTCTCGTGGAAATGAAATTATTTTAATTGCATTACTATTCAACTCAAAACTAATATTATTAGTCTGCAAATGTCTTCTATTTCATATTACGGTTCCGGAGCTTCTTCCGTATCGTAGAATAATTACGCGAAGACTTACAATTCCTTTTCTAGAACTGGAAAGAAAACTCGAATTCTATTCGTTCTTGTTAAGTTAAACTTTTAATAATGGAAACGGTGATTATATTGTTAGACGATTACATTTTCAAGGAGTTGAACGACCATAATAGATGTAATATAAGAGAAATAATATTTTTTTTATTTTGTCATACTTTGAACTATTTTGGGTACAATAAGAGTGGTCGAAAAAATCCTCAAAATCTTTTGGCATTCTACAGTTGTACAGTGAAAACCAAAAATATTATTTTGTGTGAAACAAAGTTTATTTAAATATTATAAAAAAATGCATAAGTAAATATCTAAAATTAATTTAATTTTGTCAGTAATATAAATAGAAATGTCAACTTTATTATTATTAGTATTATTATTAATATTATTATTATTCACTGACATAAGCTGAGAACCGAAGTTCTATAAAGCTCATATTATTCAAAAATTTTTAGTTAAAAATAAACATTTCTTTTTAATCTATAAACTACAACTATAAATTGATAATAAAAAAGAAAAATGAAAGTATAAAAACAATAAATTACGTTAAGTTACATTACTAATTTGTTGTGATTATAATTTATTATCTCTAGTCTATACAGATATATACATACTTAGCCTAAGGAATCAAATTTGTTTTTAAACGAGTTAACTGAAGGTGCGCATACCACGTTATCAGGAAAATTGTTCCATACAGAGAAAACTCGGTTTGAAAGAAAATTTTGCCTAACTCTAGCGTTAAAATTTTCCTTTTTTAATTTGAACATGTGCCCACGTAGGCGCAGGTCCTTATTTAATACAAATAAATAAATTGGGCGAAAACAAACGATTAAATAACGCACTCGACGCTCACTAAAAAGGGTCAGATTAGCGGTAGACAGACGCTGTTCATACGATGGCCTTCTTATACCATACGGAAGCCTTGTTGCAAGTCGCTGCACATTTTCCAACCTCTTTTTATCCGAGATTAATACGGAACACCAAACAGAACCACAGTACTCCAGACGAGGACGAATATATGTTGTGTATATTTTCAAAAATGTTGAGGGAGAAACATTTCCAAAAGTCTTTTTTAATAAGAATAGTTAAGAGTTTGATTGTTTGCTTACTAATAATATATGTTCTGACCACGTTAAGTAATGATAACGCCGAGATCATTTTGGGACGATACTGTCTTTAAGGCATTATTATTAATATTATACACTAATTTAGAATTGTTTTTACCGATATGAAGAACAACACAGTTATCAATGTTTAGCGGTAATAACCAGTCTGAACTAAACTTTGATACCGCACTTAGATCAGATTGAAGAGACTGATAGTCCACAATCGGATTAGCGTAAATTTTTGTATCGTCTGCGTAGAAGGAGCAGTGATGTCAGATCATCAAGGGTGAATAAATTACAGAAGGTGTCAAAAAGAAGTTGAGCAGATTCAGTATTGTTGGCACGCTTATCTCCATTTTCTTTTTGTAGAAGAGGTACGGACACTTTGGATGTCAGATTTGTTCTAACATGTTTATAGAACTTTTTGCTATGAGCACAGTTGGCAATGTATTCCTGATAGTTATACTTTGCTTCCATAATTGCGGCCTGTAGTTGATTGGAGAATAGTCGATGAGCAAAGAAATCGTTCATATTGGTGATGCGCTTAAATTTTTTTCATAAATGTTTTACCATAGACAGCAGTTGATTATTTATCCAGGGTTTCAAATTTGTTCTTCTGTTTATTTTGTTTTTAGTATGAGATTTTACACAATCATTAACTGTATTTGCAGCTCGGATCATTGTTTTTCACGGATAATATCAATCCAGTCTAGTTGGTCTATATATGAAAAAACTTCAGCAAAGTTTGTGATTGAGAAGATAGTGTGATTGGATGTGCAAGAAGAGAATGATTGAAATTGTAAACGACACGTTATGACTGCATGATCAGATATTCCAACTGGTGGGAGATACACCGGTGGGGTTAAGAGTTGTTCATTATTGGTAAGTAGTAGATCGAGGGTAGAAGGTTCTTTATTTATTCTAAATCTCGTGGGTTGGGTTATTAGTTGAACAAAACTAGAATTGTGGATAAATTCCATGAACTGATGGGTAACATTTTGCGTGTCAGGTTTAGAAGTAATTGGCCATTTAATGTTTGGAAAAATTGAAATCTCCTATTATAATCAGTTTTTTAGAACCGCTTAGAACATCGAGTTTGTCTAGCAGAGCCGCGTAAGTAGCAACAGGTGTGTCTGGCGGACGGTAAATAACTGCAAGAATAATACGGCAATTGAGATGTTGCAGCTGCAAACAAAGAGAATCAATACGAGGAACTGAGATAGAGAGAGAGAGAGAGAGAGAGAGAGAGAGAGAGAGAGAGAGAGAGAGAGAGAGAGAGAGAGAATATATGTTTATTGTCCAAGTTAAAATACTTATTGACAAACACAATATTGTACAAATATTGTACAAATTACAAATAAATTAATTTCTTTTAGAAACAACGCCTAGCGGTTTTTTCCTATTACCAAAATTCTCTAAAACTTCCTAGCAAATTTATTAAAATTTATATTTCTTTGTAAACAACAGAACACAGCAATTTAGGACAAAATATACAAGCTATGATTTTTGTAAACTGAAACAATCAAAACAGAAAACCGATCCTGTAAAGGCATTTGTATCTCTGTAGCTATAACGTGTGGAAGGTGGCTTAACCCACGGCAACTCTGCAGTTTCTTGTTTCATCCAATCTTCCCTTGAATTTCACAAGAGAATATTCTTGGCCAGTGAATCAAAAAGAGTACCTTTCGACATGGCGTGACCTTTGTTTCATTTTAAGGTGACCACATTGTTGATGGTTATTTTGGTCAAAGATTCGTGACATTCTAGTACTAACCCTGAGTAAATTCGTGATCTTTCCAGGGTAAGTAGTGCTTGTCTGCTATCTGTATAGATGAGCAATTGAGCATATTCCTTCCAGTGATATTTTATCTGGTTATTTATTTTGCTGCTATGAGAATCCTTGTGAGCTCCGTTTTAAATACTCTGGCACTATGGCTCACATCTCATTTTATGTTCAAGTTTAAGGATCTGAAATATATTCCACATGATGGGCCTTGTTTTGGTATGTCGCATAAGTAAAAGACATATCTTTTTATTTGAAAAAAAAAAAAAACATTTTGTTGATTTGTTCTATTAATACTGGAGTGAAAATTTGAAAATAACGTTTTTGTTATATTGCTTGATTTACGAGAAATGTTTACATTATATTTAGAAAACATTTTAGACAGTTTTAGACACAATATAATTATTATTAATATAAGAAGTGTTATTATTAGTAGTATTTTTGTTTAAAAAATGGATTTGATGAATTCTTTTTTTTTTGTAAAATTGTAAAATTCTACCAGATAGTTATTTTTGAAATTTTCTGTATGTGTATTCTGGATTTGATAATTTTTATGTATGTAAAATATTAAAATTTCTTGACAATACAAAAAGTTTTCATCCTGATAACTCATTTAGACTAGACTAGATTAACTCTCTAGTTCAAACTTATTTTGCTTGGGATTAAACGTCACTTATAGAGGCCTCACTAGCGTGATTTTAAATGTCATTCTGTATATATCATCTGTCGAAACCTGTTCCAGACGTCTTTTTATTTAGTTCGAAGTCAGTACTTGAAACTAAGATTATCCGTGTCGAGTTGTATGTAATCCAGTGAATTATCTCATTTACCCAGAAAACCGAACACGCCATCTTGAAGCAACTTAATGTAATTTAACGATGTTTCTCGATACGCTGGAATAATCTACTCCAGGGAAGTGTATTAACCGGATGTCAACACTCACAGACAAATAATAATTAACGTGTTTACATTTTAACACAATACGAAAGTAAGTGTATATTTGAATTAAATAATAAGTCAACTATAAAGAAACAAAAAATTATAACTTCCATTTGAAATCAATAATACAGGAAGTGAAGAAATTGGTCTGTATCATGAAACTTTGTTAGGTGATTTGCTTAGTTTTGCTATTTTCCAGAGCTTAATCTAAATAATGCAGTGACAGAATAGAATTAATGTATAAAAAGTAGGTGAATAAAAGCTGTAAAATAGTAATTGCTGTTTTTTTTGAGGGGGAAATTGTTTCAAAATTTCTCCGATAATAAAACATAGTTGACTTTTGTTTCTAATTAAACTTGTGGCAATATATTTCGAATAAATTATGCTAAAGCTTAGAAATTTCACTTTACATAGTAAGAGCACTGAATCTTACTACACGACGTTGGGTGCTTCTGCCTAAATTTTCAACGATTCCAGTATGATTAATTTAATTATTGACATTACTATAAAACGAAATGCTTAATTTTCCAGTCTGCAGTACCCATTATCTATATATTTTGTACGTGTATAGCTTCGTAAAATATTAGAATACTGAATTGTTTTAAATCATTTGAAAATTTATTTGTACACGTGTCAGTTTTTCTGAACGTTCTATGACCCTGAAAAACATTAGTTATTGAGATTATCTCTAAAGCTCATTTTGTTTATATTCAAATAAATCTGTATTTTCAGGCACGATTTAAAATTGAAGTGAAAATTTCACATATCTGGTTTTTAATCAATAAAATACGTGTTTCTAAAATCACTATGTAAGCCAAGGATTTTTTCTGATTTTTTTTTCTG